TATAAGAGAGAGCTAGTATATATTATATATAAATATATATATATATATATATATATATATATATATATATATATATATATTTAAATTGAACTTTTTATAAGTTCACAAGATTTTAAAACAAAGTTTTTTCTATACCAGATGACTTCAGCTTTTACATTTTAGTCTTAAAATTTCAAAGTAAGCAATTATCTCTGAAATCAATATTTCAGATTTTCTCAAATTCAAGATCTATTTTCAAACGGCATGGGGTGTAGACTTTCCAACTTTGCGTATGGTAAGCTATCACGATGAGACTAAATGCTTGAGACTAAATGCTTGAGACTAAATGCTTGAGACTAAATGCTTGAGACTAAATGCTTGAGACTAAATGCTTGAGACTAAATGCTTGAGACTAAATGCTTGAGATTAAATGCTTGAGACTAAATGCTTGAGACTAAATGCATGAGACTAAATGCTTGAGAATAAATGATTGAGACTAAATGCTTGAGATTAAATGCTTGAGACTAAATGCTTGAGACTAAATGCATGAGACTTAATGCTTGAGACTAAATGATTGAGACTAAATGCATGAGACTAAATGCTTGAGACTAAATGCTTGAGACTAAATGCTTGAAACTAAATGCTTGAGACTAAATGCTTGAGACTAAATGCTTGAGACTTAATGCTTGAGACTAAATGCTTGAGATTAATGCTTGAGACTAAATGCTTGAGACTAAATGCTTGAGACTAAATGCTTAAGACTAAATGCTTGAGATTAAATGCTTGAGACTTAATGCTTGAGACTAAATGCTTGAGACTAAATGCTTGAGACTAAATGCTTGAGACTAAATGCTTGAGACTACATGCTTGAGATTAAATGCTTGAGACTTAATGCTTGAGACTAAATGTTTGAGACTAAATGCTTTGGACTAAATGCTTGAGTCTAAATGCTTGAGACTTAATGCTTGAGACTAAATGCTTGAGACTAAATGCTTGAGACTGAATGCTTGAGACTTAATGCTTGAGACTTAATGCTTACGGACCTGATGTCGGGGTCTACCAACAATCGAAGGAAACACACATCTTGGGGCGTCATCACCAGCAAACCCTGCCTTACACATCCCTGAACCGTTGTCAATGACAAGACCTGCGACATCTACGTCGCACATCGTGACAGCCTGTCACCTGTCCTAGAAATAGTTCATTTTATTGGAGACGTTTTGAACACCCAAGAAGTGAGTGTTGAACTGTTTGTCATAAAAGTGACTGGTGCGGCTTTGAACACCCAAGAAGTGAGTGTTGAACTGTTTATCATAAAAGTGACTGGTGCGGCTTTGAACACCCGAGAAGTGAGTGTTGAACTGTTTGTCATAGCAGTGGCTGATGCGGATTTCAAGATTTCATTTTCAATCATTTGCGTGAACACGTCTTTAATATAATATCAACATCAAAATGACATAATCAATCATTCTTGGTTGTAACAAAGAACATTACCAATCATTTTTGGTTGTAACAGAGCACAAAATTAATCATCGTTGGTTGTAACAGAACACACAATCAATCATTGTTGGTTTTAACAAACAATACATAACCAATCATTGTTGGTTGTAACAGAATACACAATCAATCATTTCTTTGTTTTAACAAAGAACATAACCAATTATTGCTGGTTGTAATAGAACACACAATCAATCATTCTTGGTTGTAACAATGAAAATGACCAATCATTTTTCGGTTGTAACAAGGAACGTAACCTGTCATAGTTGTTTGTAACAGACCATGTTTACACATCAGCCACGCTATAAATATAAACATTTTTGGATATAACGACCTACAAACAAAACTGAATGAAGAATTTCATAATTTAGTACAAAGATACAACTAAACGAAGCAAGATTTCAGCATTACCATAATGTGATGGATATGCTAGTACTAGTACAATTTAAGAAAATCATTATTTCGTAATATTTATTAAAAGAGCGTCAGCACAAAGAATATCAGGTCGTAAACATACAGAAACTTACCGAGTTAGAAGTAAGACAATGCAGTAACGCTAAAGATGTCAGTGGAATCACAATCACAATAACGTAAACATTTTTTGAACACTAATAAAACAACCTGTTCGTTGATTGTCGGCGAGCAATGTTACTACCAGTCCCAAGACACGACACTGCACCACGCCAAACTTCCTTGCAATAGCTCCAATAGACTGCCAGTCTCACCCAGGACAGACGCATCAATTCGTGAGGAGATAGCTTCCTTGCCATATAAGGCAAGGCAATATTTGTCTAATGTGTACTCCCGTCGACTGGAACTATCTCTCTTCTTACTTATTCTACCGATGACACTGGCGGAGTCGATGGTGGAAATAGAGAGGTGTGGGGGGGCGGGTAAGTACGCTTCCGTTCTCTTAGTATCTTATGGGAAGACACACAGTTTGGAAACATTGGGGAAAAACATCAATTTAAAAAAAAACAATCATTAAAAGCTGTCTTCTTTTAGGTGTGGGGGGGGGGGGTAAGTACGCTTCCGTTCTCTTAGTATCTTATGGGAAGACACACAGTTTGGAAACATTGGGGAAAAACATCAATTTAAAAAAAAACAATCATTAAAAGCTGTCTTCTTTTTATATCAGGTGCTCCTCACTTTTGACGGGCTGGTTGCTCGTTACGCCCCTGCCACCCGAGCTCAGCCACTGCCACCCGAGCTCAGCCACTGCCACCCGAGCTCAGCCACTGCCACGCGAGCTCAGCCACTGCCACCCGAGCTCAGCCACTGCCACCCGAGCTCAGCCACTGCCACCCGAGCTCCGCCACTGCCACCCGAGCTCCGCTACTGCCACCTGAGCTCAATTGACATACAATCTTGTCGCTGTCCCGGGCATGTAACACGCGCCTCTGTACACCTTCAACTACTGTGGTGGAGGTCAAGGAGAGTGCAGGCATAGATGTCAATATGCCACGCCCATGAACTGCCACGTGCTCTTGCGTCATTAACCTGTTGCTGCACACGATAATGTAAGATAGATTGTATACCTTGAAACTAACGATTTTAAGAGAGAATGCATTTCTGATAAGTACGTTTCTGTGCACATTTTGTTTTTGTTGTAATGCTCCAGACCTCACCACTCTGGTACAACTGCTTTAACAAGAAGGGGATCTCGGGGGCCCCTATCTGCAGAGCAACACATTTCACACGGGTTATAAATGTTTACACATAGAATTGTGTTTGCTGAAAGCATATTGTTTATTGAGGCCTGTCATTGCGGCAATCGGGGAATCCCTTTCATGGGAGGGGAGATCTTGGAGTTATGAAAGCTTTTTGTATTGTGTGTGTGTGCGTTTTGGGTTTGTGCTTTTGTGTGTGGTGTTGGGGGTGTGAGTCTGTTCTGTTGTTCGTCCATCGAGGATCGACGATGACCATCGAGTCGTCCGTGACTGATGCCTTGCGCTAGTGACTTAAAGTGAGGAAGAGTTGCGCGGCGTCAACCTCACTCTCTCGTCCGGGCCCACCATATCCAGTGGCAAGACTCTACGTCCAGACGACCAGGGATGGGTACGGTTGCAGGAGTTGTCATTGTATGCGCCTTACGGGACTCCAACTCCGGTTTTGAATTCAGAGTTTCCTTCTCTTAGATGCGTTGCCGACCAAGGTTAACGAGTCTCATCCACCCGGGGTGATGTTTTTGCCTGACCGGCCTTTGGCTGGAATTGAGATTTGTTCAGTTTAGACCATTCGGCCACCCAGTCACCCATGCAATGAATGACCATGGCGTTCTACGTGTCTGGCCATGCTCTCAACGATTCACATACTGTGCTGTCTCCGCCTTTTGTCCGTTAACCAAGTAGTTGTTCTTCCGCACAATTTGCCGGATTCAGTCTTTACATGCTGGGGGTGTGAGTAATATATTATATATGTACATGTTTATTGCTTCATCACTGTTTTATGACAGAATATTATTTCACTTATGGTAATGCTTGTATTGGGAGATATTTGCAACAAAGGTTAAAGGCATCGCAACAGAAAATCTTTTGACTTTCTCTGAGTTAAAATGAATGATTTAATGGTTTGCTCATAAGGAAGAAAAAATATGGCGGAAAAAACATGCACAATCAATTTATTTAAAACCAAAATATTTAGACGTGTGTAAAAGTAATATAGTCTACTGCAAATATTAGGGGAGGTAAGCTATTGTCTTTAAGATCCTTTTTAATTCCTGGGTAGTCTAACCTTTCATAATTTTTTTTTTTACCATTCACCCTTAAAACAATCATTCCATCAATATATGAATTGAAAATGTGGTCACATTGTTAAAAAACGAAATAATTTGAAGTGACACCTTGTAACTTATTGTTCCCCCCTTTAAATATTGTTTCTACAGCTGTATTACTCCCAAACAAGCTGAGACACTCATAAGTTACCCAATACGCTCTATACCGCAGCAGTTGAAGCCATCAGACGTGCCGTGCTGCTAGACGCGATCGATTGACTGGAAATTTTTACACAACGACCTCATCTCTGCTTTGGGGAAACGCCTCAGTGGAAATGAACCAAGTGTATAAATACCTGACCTGGTTTGTTTTCCAAAATACATGCGTAGTAGTGCAGGTCTTCCAGCTTGTTTACGACAGAATATTTCCACTTCATATGGAGGGGGGAAGGGGGGGGGGACGAGAGGCAGAATTAGTTTTGATTTGTCTTTTGCCAGTGTACATGAGCAAATTATTTCTGTCTCTGGACTAAAATATAAGGACACAAAATGACAGCGAAATATTTGACATGGAAGCAACCACGGTATGTTACCACATTATCTTGCACTATGAATTGATTCTATTTTTAATAAAAGAATCTATGTGTTTTTTTTTATTTATCTGTTATTATTATTCTGATAAATTAACACTGAGCAGAAAAATATAGAGTTTTATTTTATCATAAAAATTGTAACACTAATTTACCTTAGGCATTTATGCAGTATTCTCTTTATATATGTCCAAGACTCACAGGCATAGGATGTGTGGAGGTGTATGTGTGTGGGGGGTGGGGGGACGACGGTCCACAAAGGTGGCATTTTTCCATATTTTTGTCAAGCTACAGAGCTTTTTCCCAGGGGTCGGGGGTGGGGAGGGAACCATCCTTACCTACGCCACTGCCAAGTCTTCAAAACTATCAGCACCAAGAAAATCCTTACCAACATCCATGGGCGCCGGCACCATGGGTCAAGGTGGGTCACATGAACTGGAAAAGGATACATTAATACTAAAAAAAATATTAGCATTTGCACTTTGTCCCTGTGAATATAAAATAGTTTGTCACAAATGACAGAAGAAATAGTTTGATGATGATGGGTGTAAGACATGGTCAAACTTAACAGCTGTGTCCGCATCAACCACTTTGACAAGAGTGGACCAACAAGTTCAAGAGCTAACCAAAAGTAGTGACCTGGCCATTTCACACTCTCAGGAGTTTGAAGCTGCTGCTAGTGGTTCTCAGAGCTGCGATTCGTCACCATCAGCACCACTCAGATTTGAAACTGATATAGCAACATATAATAATTGAGACTGTTAGATGGCAATCAATTATTTCTATTGGGGTCGACGTATTCAGTCACAATCTCAACTGTCAGATGTTTTAAAATATTGTTTACTCACAAACCCTTGTACCGGCCAGTAGATAGTTACAATTTCACGGAGGATAGACCGGTCCAAAACGTAGTCTTTGGTATACCTGGCTGGATCAGTTCTCCTCGGCTTGACTATTATAGTTGTCATAAAGGTCCAGTAGAATATTTTGTGTCGTTTTCCTACACCCCATTCATCACGGGTACCAAGTGGAGTTTATAGTAACATCTATCATTGAGGACAATGACTTTCCTCAATGTGCTCGTAATCACGTGGAAAGTGAGTGGCACAAAGGCGTTCAGCAGGATGCATCAGCATTCTTGAGATCAGCATTCTTGAGATCAGCAGTCTTGAGATCAGCATTCTTGAGATCAGCATTCTTGAGATCAGCATTCTTGAGATCAGCAGTCTTGAGATCAGCAGTCTTGAGATCAGCATTCTTGAGATCAGCATTCTTGAGATCACATTTCAATCAATGTGGTCTGGACAAGAAAAAAAAAATTACTTGGACAAGGATATGATGGCTGTTCCATGATGGCAGGGAAAAAAAAGGCGTTGTTCAGGCTAAAGTACTCAAGATTTTACCAAAAGCAGCTTTTGCTCCTTGCACTGCGCATCAGCTCAATCTGGTGGTTAATGATTTGAATTAATTTTTTCAAGTACGCAATGCCATTGGTACAATCAAAGACTTCATTAAGTTATTACAAGAAATGATAAAGCGAAGGTCGTTTTTGCCTAAAGTTCCATTGGTCTGTGAAACTCGATGGTCCGCAAACTATAAAAGCATTCTCATTTTCAGTGAGAATTTCGAGGTGATACGCAATCAATTGCACAATCTGGCAACACATGACATTGGTCAAACGCGACAAGATGCTTACCAGCTAATGTGTTCATGTTCTTCGCCTATATTTCTCGATGTCTTGTGATTATCATCTCATACTCAGCGATACTGGTACATAGGAGCCAGGATGATCAATTCATTGATCAAAATAAAGAAGAAGAAGAAGAAGCTCAGTCATTACAAGCCATACAGCTGGATTTGTTAAGTGTACATAGACACATTTGTAAAGTAACGGAGATTTTCCCTGAACATCGCCTGAATGTTGAAACTCAGTTTAAGAAAAATATTTGTTGAAAAAGTCTTGTCTCTTGCAACTTTAGTTACCATTAAGATTAAAAGCCCTCGTGTCTGTGGACTTGGCTCTTGCAGCTTTAGTTAAAATTGAGATGAAGAACCCTAGTATCTGTGGACTTGGATCGGGCAGCTTTATTTAATAATGATATGAAGAGCCCTCGTATCTCTGTATCAACTCAAATGGCAAGAAGGACGATCCGACTTTAAAAAAAATACTTCTTCAGACAAACAATATTTTTTCCTTACTTCTATATTATCATTTCTGACCAAGCGTTGCTCTGGAGACAACAGTCCACAGTTCCACCTATTCAGACTTCAGCCTGCTATCATGACAAGTCTTAGCAGTGTCGAGTTTAACAAGGGCGTTGATATAATTTCTAGTTTGTACTCATTTGCCAACGTCCAGCCTGACGCAATCAACTGGCTTGAATTTTGGAGCATGCAGCAACAATTGCATAATATTAAAAATGACTTGCAGCTTATCGACTTGATGCCAAGTACAAACTTTTCACCAAGCTATTCTCATTGCATGCACTTTACCAACAGTAACAAGCACCGTGGAGCGTTCCTTTAGTACCCTCATACGAGTCAAAACTTGGCTTCGTTCGAAAACGTTTTTCAGGGTTGCGTTTGTTCAGTGGACATCATTTAAGTGTGAACAGAAGTAAGGCAGAGTCTATGCAGAAATTAATTGAAAAACATGGAAAGGACAAACGCCGAGTTCAAGTCCTTTTCAGAGATTGAAATGAAAGAATAGCAAGTAATTTGTGGGCCGATTAGTTGTATAGTTTAAATTATAAGCTTAATCATTTATGTTAAGGAAGAACTTTTTTTTTTCATAATGACTTTTTTATGTTTGCAAAAAAAAATCTCTAATTTAAAAAGTAGGCTACTATTAATACACAGTCCTACGCTCTTTAGCTTTCAGTTAAATGTTTATATTATGAAAAAGAATATCCGAAGTTTGTTAACCCCCCCCCCCACACACACACACTCCGGGAAAATTTTTGCAGGCGCCCATGCCCACATCCAGTTTAATCTTTGGCATAATATGTAATTCGTCATATTGCCGTAATGTGTACTTCTTCATTTTGCAATCTGATCATTTAAAACAATTAACATAAATTCTCATTCCAATGGAATTATACTATTAAGTTCAAAATGTGTGTCCTAGATATCAACGGCCGAAAATGGCAGTTTCTCCCTTATCCACCTCAGCCTTGCACCACATCCCAACCCTTTCTCCTATACGCGAGTGTATACAACTTTTACTGGTAACAAAAATTATTGCCAACCAATTTTCAGCCTTAAGGTTTTTAAGAATTTCAGTGCGAAATTGAACTTGGGAAAATAATAATTAATATTGAAGTTTGTCTGAGAAATAGAATAATGTAACTGAACATAAAATGCTATTGGCTTTGAACATTGACTGCTGGGTTTGAACATTGACTGCTGGCTTTGAACATTGACTGCTGGCTTTGAACATTGACTGCTGGGTTTGAACATTGACTGCTGGCTTTGAACATTGACTGCTGGCTTTGAACATTGACTGCTGGGTTTGAACATTGACTGCTGGCTTTGAACATTGACTGCTGGGTTTGAAAACGAACAGATTACGGGTGTGAGAATTAACAAAATGTACCTGGTTTGAACTCTAACAACAGATTTATGGGTTTAAGAAGAGGACAAGAAGTGGTTTTTTATCAGTGCTCATAATTCAAAAACGAAAATCCCATGCACGTTAGGTTAGAGAAGCGGTTCTCAACCTGTCGGTCGCATCCCCTTTGGGGGGCCGGACGACCCTGACACAGGGGTGCGCTTAAGACCATCGGAAAAACACATTTTTAATTAAATGGCAACGACAATAATTTTAGGGTTGGGTTTCACCACAGCATGAGGAACTGTATTAAAGGGTCGCAGCATTGGGAAGGTTGAGAGACACTAAATTAGAGGAACAAATGAGACGTTGTCAAGTCTAGCGTTAAAACGAAAGGAAATGTTGCTCTTGTCGTGACAGTTCTATTTCTTCGATGCGATGTTTACTAACTGGTAGACAACTTTTGTAACCCTTCGCTTTGTTAACTGTACAGCAGTGTGAATTTCTGGGTCCATTAGCTATGGTCCATTAATGTGATATCCATAGTATTTTAGCACGTCTCCACTCCTTTAGTTTAGCCATATATTTTCCAAAGTAAAAAACCTAATAAACAAGACATTGTGTACACGAACTAATTATTTGCGGTACAATGACTATGTTATTTCATGTCATTGAAGCTGCCACGACCATTGAACTCGAATTGTAATTTGTATTGAGATTTGTGTTACAGTAAATAAATTAGATGAGGTGACATGCGGTGCATATTAAGATTTAGAAAAAACAAGTCTTAAAAAAAAAAAAAAAAAAAAAAAATTTAAAAAAAAAAAAAAAAAAAAAAAAATATCAACACTCTAGAAGTTGCATTGCCAGAGAACATGGACCGATTGGTAGGTCAATAAGCTTTCTTTCCAACGTGGGGCTTTATATAGTTTCATTGTTTTTATAATATAGTAGTTACTATCCTAGTGTCTCATTTTTATTTTACTTAGTTTACATCTTTTTAATAATTGTAAAACGCTTTTTAATATGCACTATATAAAAATGCCTAAATAAATAAATAAATATCTATCTCTTTTGTAATGAGTGTGATTAAAGACAAAACATTAGTGGTCATTTCTTAGCCTTGAATTGTTCACTCGTGTTGTTAGTTTGGATTTAAAAGACAGAGGACAGCACACGATTTCAACAGAGTTGGTTTCTCTCCCACTGGTACATCTCCATCTCCCCTGTCACTTTCTAACATAAGACCAGTAAAACGCATAACATGATTTTTTTGTTTTGTTTTGTTTTGTTGCCCATATCCAGAGGCGGATCATCGTAAACATAAGGGTGCTGGTGATAAGTAAACTTTTTTTTTTTTAGTATTCATTCATGTTAAGGAAACAGACAACTTCAGTTTTTTTGTTTGTTTTTTTTTGTTTGTTTTTTTGTGTGTGTTGAAAGAATAAAATATAATTTCTCAATTGAACCTTATTTTGAGGACAGTCATGTTATGTGGTCTGTCACTCCATGACGACCCTACACTAATATTGTGGTTCTGTTTGACCATACCATTTAGTATTTTGATTGTGCAGGTTTTCGGAGGTATACAGAGTCGTAAACTGGCAAAGTACATTGAACGGTTATGTCATCTTCATTTACGCCCAATGGGTTTAGTGGTCCATAAATGTCTGTCAGAAAGAAGGCTATGTCACCTGTACCAGCCAGTTAGTTGGAAGTGTATATTACTTGTACCAGCCAGCTAATTGGAAGTGTCTATTACCCTATCAAGCAGTTAATTATGAGTTTGACAAAAACGAAAATGCTAATATTTTTAAAACACACGCTGCTGAGATACACAATGGCCTGTATGGCCTGTGAGCGTAGATTGAAGATTGTATTTTAAAACACCAAGTAGACAGATCAGTGTGCCAAAATTGAGAAAACCGAGTACGGAGTTTGGATAGCAAGGTTCCAAGCACACCTTCCAATTCAAAGTGTACTCTTGCATTGATACATCGCAAAAAAAACTGTTATAAATTAAGAAGTGAGACCCTAGCCTCCCTCCCCCCCTTTTTTCTGAGTTACACCACTGTAATGAAAAGAATCTTGACTAAAATTAGCATGGCGTGACAGTGACAGCTAACCAGCATTGCGAGTCAAGTGTGTCTCAGTGACGTGACAGTGTCAAGTGCAGATGGTCGTAAGATAAATTAGACGCAGTTGCGTCTTTAAAAATCTATTTTTTAGGTGGGGGGGGGGGGCTTTTTGCACAAATAGTTTAAGCTAAATAATTAATTTTAAACATTGTGTAACTTGGGAAAGCAATGTAAGGCAGGTAGGTAAGAGATGTTGTTAGGAAATGTTTACCATATTAACATATCTGAGTAGGTCAAGAAAAGTTATAAGGTTTCATCTTTCTTGTCCTTTAGGAACTGTTTACATTGTTTATTACGTTTCTTCGTGAGTCTGGTCGACTTGCCTTAGAGGTGCCATGAGTTCTATGGTTTTGGGGAATGAGATTATATTACAGTGACGTTTCTCTTGAGCGTAAATATCTGAAAGCAGAATATTCAGAGTGATTGCCCCGCCATGATCTTTTCCATGTCATATTGTTATTGTGTATTGAAATCTACATTTTTGTTTTCATTTACAGCAAGGTGGTCAATGCCAACATAATGCAGGAAGTTCTGGATAAGGTGGATGCCTGTCAGCTAAAGGATTGGAACACGTCATTGAAGCCACGGCTTCACAAGGAGAGTGAGTTTGATGTGGCGCAGCGTAGCACCTATTTGCGCGTCGACCTGCAGGCTATTTGGAATAACATTCAGATACTAAAATCTAAATGTGCGAACCACACAAGTAAGCTCCCATTATCAAGTACATATTTGTTTAACATAAAATAAAACAGCAATATGGACAATGTACATATATGGCATCCTTCTGTCTTCGCGAGACAACGAACTAGCTATGTAGGTCTGCTTATCGACGTGTGGCTTACTAGGCCGATCCTGGAATGACAATCTCGACTGCATTTCTAGCAGGAGAACATTGATTTCTGGTTAGATATGGCCTTCCGTATTGTTCTTTTTGTTGCAGGGGCCTCGTTTCGCGCATCTTCTACCTTTGTGACTACTTCATACACTGCTGTTCGCCATCTGGAACGTTGTTCAGCAATGATCTCCCATTTGTTGATATCAATGTTGGCTTCCTCATGCTCCTTTTGCAATGTACAGGCCTGTAGATAAATATCGACTTGTCGCGTTTGTAAAATATCCCAAAGTCAACTAACTAGGACAACGAATATATGAACAGACAAGCACAGATGGAAAGACAAGCTTAGATGAACAGACAAGCTTAGATGAACGGACAAGCATAGGTGAACAGACAAGCATAGATGGAAATACCAGCTTAGATGAACAGACAAGCTTAGATGAACAGACAAGCATAGATGAACAGACAAGCATAGATGTACAGACAAGCATAGATGAACAGACAAGTATAGATGAACAGACAAGTATAGATGAACAGACAAGCATCGATGTACAAACATGCATAGATGAACAGACAAGCTTAGATGAACAGACAAGTATAGATGAACAGACAAGCATAGATGTACAGACAAGCTTAGAGGAACAGACAAGCTTAGAGGAACAGACAAGCTTAGATGAACAGACAAGCTTAGATGAACAGACAAGCTTACATGAACAGACAAGCATAGATGAACAGACAAGCATAGATGAACAGACAAGCATAGATGAACAGACCAGTGGAAAAGAAACCGTGGAAGACCCAAAAAGACAACGCAAACGAATTTAGAGTTTACGGTTTTCCACGATAAAAGAAACCTGACCATGCAGACGGCTCTCGAAAAGCGTCCACAGTGATCGCTTCTGCATGAACGTTTTTTAAAAAAAATATTTTGATTTTATAATCAGCAAATTTATAAATTTTGTTTCAGAAGTTATTGCTGTGGTGAAGGGCAACGCGTATGGACACGGGAGTGTTGGTGTGGCCCGGCATTTAAGTCAGTGTGGCGTCACCCACTTTGCTGTAGCCACATCACTGGAAGGGAAGGAACTGAGACAGAATGGCGTGACAGGATTCATACAGGTTTTGGGTAACAATGAGATTATTATTATTACATTAATGCTAGGTAAACTCTTGAACGGAAACGTCCTCAACTAAACACAATGAATGATGTAATGCATCAATGGATAGAAGCACGCTATCAGTGGATAGAAGCACGCTGAAGTTAAACACACTAAGTTATTTAGGCTCCGTTATTTCCAAATAAGAAAAATGCGGTTACATTATGCGTACATTCGGAGCAACCTTTATTAAATTTATATCAAAATTTGTGTGGTTAGAATAACCTGTCAATTTATATCAAAATTTATGTGCTTAGAATAACCTGTCAATTTCTAAATCAAATTGATGTGGTTAGAATAATTTGTCAATTTATATCAAAATTTATGTGGTTAGAATAACCTGTCAATTTATAGCAAAATTTATGTGGTTAGAATAACCTGTCAATTTATAGCAAAAATTATGTGGTTAGAATAACCTATCAATTTATATCGAAAATAACATTTTAAAATAATTTGGGGGACATATTTTAAGGACTTGGAAACGAGCACGTACAAACGGTTCGAAAGGACGTCCTATGCTACATACACACACTCACAGAGTCTACGTCTTGAATATTTATGTAAGTGTCCCAACATTTTTAATGTGACAAAATTATTTACAAGTTATATTTTCGTGTAGGGGCCACACATTCTATAACTGGCAACGAGCCTCTAGAAGTTAGGCGACGGCCATGCTCACCCATGCACACAAACAACAACATTTGTTTAATAGATTTTGAGGAGCCTTTTAACATTAAATAAAATGTTAAGATGTTAACAAACGTGCTAGGCAGATGCATTTATACGTTGTATTAACTGTGTTTTATTGTGTCCCGCAGGAAGCTGTGTCACAGAAGAGATGGACACCATGTTAGAAGAAAATCTAACCCCAACTGTCTCCGACGTCAATTTCATCAAAATATGGGCTGAAAAGATAAAGACAAAACATGAGGAAAATATCGACAGCTGCGATCAAGTCTACCAAAAAGTAAGTATCTTAAAAAAACAAAAAAAACTGTGCGTAAAGTACAGATGTTGAGTTAAAGCGTTGATGCTTTCAGTCCTAATTGTAGAAGTTCATCGGACAACATCATGATGTTATACAATATATGTGAGGAGTTTAGTGTGTGCATCTTCGGTTCTACAGAGAAAATGTTTCTTGATGGGATGTTTCTTGAGGTGCAGTAATAGGTCTGTGGTGGTATGATGCAGTAATAGGTCCATGATGGGATCGTGCATAATAGGTCCGTGATGGGATTGTGTAGTAATAGGTCCGTGATGGGATGGTGCAATAATAGGTCCGTGATGGGATGATGGAGGAATAGGTCCGTAATGGGATGTTGCAGTAAACGGTCTGTGATGGCATGGTGTATAAATAGGTCCGTGATGGGATGGTGCAGTAATAGGTGTGTGATGGAATGATGAAGTTACAGATCTATTGGGGATGGTTCAATAATACGTCCATGTTTGATGAAATCAGCATAAATTATGTCACATAACATTTGTGCAAAGTATCATTCACTTAATTAATTGAAATTATTTTGAACTTCAAATGGAGCTATGTGAAATTGTTGATAGCCTCCACACAAAAAAGCACACTGTAATTAAAGACTCTCTTCCTTTTTCAACATAAACACCAACCTTTAAGAACAAAGGACTGAATGAAATATGAATTGCGGGTTAAGTTCATAGAAAATATTTAAGTAAGATGTTCTCATATTTTTTATTTGATCAGTTTTGCGTGGTCGTGAAAGTTGACTCTGGAATGTCCCGAAACGGCTGCCAGTGCGAGGACCTCCCTAAATTAATGAAGGTAAGACGCATAACAAACGAGAGAGCTCACTACAGTAGACCCTCAAGTCACAGGAATCTACATAACAAACGAGAGAGCTCACTACAGTAGACCCTCAAGTCACAGGAATCTACATAACAAACGAGAGAGCTCACTACAGTAGACCCTCAAGTCACAGGAATCTACATAACAAACGAGAGAGCTCACTACAGTAGACCCTCAAGTCACAGGAATCTACATAACAAACGAGAGAGCTCACTACAGTAGACCCTCAAGTCACAGGAATCTACATAACAAACGAGAGAGCTCACTACAGTAGACCCTCAAGTCACAGGAATCTCTCAGCTGCTTAGCGTGCAGCCTTGTGCTTGAACTGTTGTTTAAAGTTGTTTCGATGGAGGAATCTATCAAAAGAAATAACTGAAATCGCATTATTGGCTTAACGTTAATCAAGCACAGCTCCATTAATATTTTTCATGCATAAATCAGTGACCGTTAAACCAGTGGCGTAGCAAATAAAGAAAATGTTGCCGCCGCTGATTTGAACTAAATACGCAACATGCAAAATTCCATTATTTGAATAGGTGAACGATTTGTTTGCAGGAGTATTAACAAAGCTTGATATACTTCCTTTGTATGATTCCATAGCTATAAAACTGTTTTAAGCTTACTACTTTAGATTATTAACATGAATGGTTTTTATGTCCTAAACATTACTGACATAATATATTATTCGTCTCCCATTTTTTTTTCTAAGGCCTGTGCAGAACATAAAGTAGCGGTGCACAGTTTGATGACCCACTTCGCCCAAGCCTGGGATGACCCAGTATTCACACAACAACAGCTGGCCACGTTTCTGGACGCCGTGCAGCCGTACAGGTAAGGCTTACTTACGGCTTGCCATTTTAACAACCTCCAACATTATGGGCGTCATTTCTTAAAATAGTCAAATAACATGTTTACCTGACAAGGGCCGGCCCGACGGTTCCTGGCGCCCTGTGCAAGCTTAACTTTGGCGCCGCTTATAAGTATAATCACTGCAAGGAAAAAAAAAACCTAGTTATTCGGCAATAAGTTTATTACCTATGTTGTTGTTTTTTTAAAACAAATAAGGAATTGTTCCCAACTAGTTTTTACCTTTATTGATTAAACTTATAAGAGGCGCCAAAGATAAACCTTTAATAAACTTTCGCCCTGTGCGAAGCACCCGTTCGGCGCCCCCCTTCCCTGTCCCTGTATGGCTCCGCTCTTTTTCTGATTACGACGTACTTGTTCTGTTTTGCGCTTGCGATTTTGCGCCCCGGAAAGCTTTTTGTTCCCCATATTCTTTCTGCTGAAATAATTGTAAGAAGGACAGGGAAATACGGTATTAATACATTAATTTCCACGCCCTTTCGGTTGGTCCCAACCCGAGTGTTAGTATCCAAATTAAGAATGCAACTTTCATTGTATGACAAGCGATTGTACGAACAGTTAGAATATTGTTTCTCGACACCGGGCCCGAGGTTCACACATCACTATAATAAACTAAGGGAATTTTATTATTTGCTGGGCGCCCCTATGGCCACGGCGCCCTGTGCGAAGGCATGGTGTAGTGAGGCACAGGTCGCACACCCAAAAAGCCGACTCTGACCTGATCGTATAAAAAATGTTATTGAAAAATGTTATTAAAATGTTATTGAAAAATGTTATTAAAAATGTTATTGAAAAATGTTATTAAAAATGTTATTAAAAAATGTTATTAAAAATGTTATTGAAAAATGTTATTAAAAATGTTATTAAAAAAGGAAAGAAACAACTTATCAGAAAGATCTTATTTTCACACTAAAATATTCACCCTGTAATATTTCAAATGACCTCATAATATATTGGCAATACCAATATATATAATATATATGATTTAACAACACCAATTAAAAAGTTCTTATACTTGCACTTAAAAATTTAAAAAAAAAAATTTTTCTTATGTTTTAAAAAGTTAAAATTTTTGTGGGGTGTGCAGTGCTAAAATCAAAATTATTTCTCATTTCAGGAAAACTGGGGTCAAAGTTCATGTAGCTAACTCAGCGGCTATCATCCGAGGATTTGGTACACATTTAGACTTTGTCCGGCCTGGAATAGCCATCTACGGACTACCACCAGGTGATTATATCAACATAATCTGTCAGCTGCTGCATGTCCAGCAGTAACGGGTATATATTATTTCAGCAATTACCAAATAAAACCACAGAATGGTCGTGAGAAAGCGCATTTATTATAATGTATAGCGGGACAAAGTTCATCTTAACAACTCTGATCGTGCACAAAACCACCTTAAAAAAAAATAACATAAGTTTTTTGGCCTTGTAACAAACATTTTATAGGTAGGAGTGCGTGGTATTTGATATTAAATTTTGTATGCTTGTTTACATAATCCTATCTACCTATAATTCCGATTTCTATCATTTAAAAAAAATAAAAGTTGACAAAGTTGCCTGTTGAATCCAAAACATTAAGCAAGGCTAAGGTTAAAGAAAGGGCACGGCGGAGGGTGGTATTTCAACTTCTATCAACAATTACTGCGATATTGTTAGACAATGCATATATTTTCTGTACTTTATTTCAGATAGCTCCTTACAATCTGCTTGCATTGTCAAGTCCCTTGGATTGAAACCAGCCCTGACCTGGGTGGCTAGGCCGAGTCTGGTCAAAACTCTAGAGGCCGGGAGGAGTGTTGGATACGACCAGATGTACAAGTGTGTATCTAACGTCTGTATTCTGTCTCAGAAATCTTTGTCTATTTATTTAATGTCAAAACTCTACCACGAGATTTAGTTTTTTAATGTAGAATTTCTGTCTCGGGAAATCAGTAAAAAAAATACCATCATTTTCCCTTAGTAATTTGCAATCCGATGGCTGGTACATTTGTCATTCTTAGAGGCGAAAACTTTGAACATATGAAATATTTCAACATTTAAAATTCTATTTTACTACTTTGTTCAGTAATTTTTTTTCTGCTTAGGTTACTCAAACCCGAAACGCTGGCAACGTTTAGCTTTGGATACGCCGATGGCTACAACCGACTTCTCTCCGGACGCGGCGTTCTCACAGATACGAAAGGTGTTGTGCATCTCTTTCTGTCCTTAACTTATTCAAATATAAGCAAAGCAAACATACTTTTGATTTTGCTGGACTCCCTGTGACGTGCGACAAGTTCAGCATATTCTGTAATTAATTCGAGGTTATGTTTGCTGTTGCCCGCCATTTTAGGCGACCTACGTCTATTATTTAAGTACTGTCTTTAAAGTTTTATTTTGAACCAAGAATAACGAATGATTTTTTTCTTAAAAGTTGGAAAGCAATATCGATTGTGCCTATATACGAAAAGCAATACCAATGGTACATATATACGAAAAGCAACATCAGTGGTACATATATATGAAAAGCAATATCGATTGTGCCTATATACGAAAAGCTATACCAATGGTACATATATACGAAAAGCAACACCAATGGTACATATATATGAAAAGCAATATCGATTGTGCCTATATACGAAAAGCTATACCAATGGTACATATATATGAAAAGCAATATCGATTGTGCCTATATACGAAAAGCTATACAAATGGTACATATATACGAAAAGCAACATCAGTGGTACATATATATGAAAAGCAATATCGATTGTGCCTATATACGAAAAGCTATACCAATGGTACATATATACGAAAAGCAACACCAATGGTACATATATATGAAAAGCAATATCGATTGTGCCTATATACGAAAAGCAACATCAGTGGTACATATATATGAAAAGCAATATCGATTGTGCCTATATACGAAAAGCTATACCAATGGTACATATATATGAAAAGCAATATCGATTGTGCCTATGTATGAAAAGCAATACCAATGGTACATACATACGAAAAGCAATAACGATTGTACCTATATATAAAAAGCAATAGCAATGGTACATATATAAGAAAAGCAATACCAATGGTACATATATATGAAAAGCAATACTGATTGTACATATATTTGAAAAGCAATACCAATGTTACCCATATATAATACCAACTTATATTAATTTATGAACCAAAACATGCTACTTTAACCTGTAATAACTTTGGTACAGCTTCATTAGTTGGTAGATATTCTTTGCGTAATATGTACAGTTTAATATATGCAATGTAATATCTACAGTCATTACGTTTTTACTTCTGTATTTCACATTTTAGCAAATCAGTACGAAGTCGTCGGACGTGTTTCTATGGACGCCGTGACAGTAATTGTAGACGATAACGTAACGAGAGACACTGTGTTCCACGTCATTACCGATGACTACCAGTCACCAAACTGTGTAGCGAACATGGCGGCCGTGTTGGGCACGATTCCTTATGAAGTTGCCACAAGTCTCGCTGCGAGGCTTCCACGGCTGTACGTCACCAACCAGCAATGTGTGGGGAGGGGAACACATTGATATTTACATTTAATATTGCATCATTATTGTTTTTTTGTTTTTTTAAATTCATTTTTGTACTTAAAGTTTTTAACGCATTTAATGTTGTAAATACGGAGCTGATTTGTAAAATTATAAATACTGGAATAACAAATATTAAAAAAATGAAAATAGAATAGAGAAATATTTATTTAAAACACGTATGTATTCCTACATGTCTTAATTTTTGTACGCATTTTAGTCTTAATTTTTGTACGAATTTTAGTCTTAATTTTTGTACGAATTTTAGTCTTAATTTTTGTACGCATTTTAGTCTTATTTTTTTAACGCATTTTAATCTTAATTTTTGTAAGCATTTTAGTCTTAATTTTTTTTTACGTATTTTAGTCTTAATTTTTGTACGTATTTTCGTCTTAATTTATGTACGTATTTTAAACAGCTTGACATTTATTTGTGAACATTTACATTTATTAAAAAAAAAAAAAGAAAACTAAGGCGTTTTATTTTTATGTCATGACTTCCAAACGAGTTAGTGTTGAGGGCGTTGAGAGCGGAACTCTTCAAGAGCTACAAATAGTAATCTTATATGTTCCCGTATACATATATTCTCACCCTTTAGAGACATATACAAATTTAAAGTAATTTTAACCCACCACCCCCTATGTTAAGGCCATTTCTAAGAAAACCTATTGGCGCAATAAAACTTTTTGAAGTCAAAACAGATAAATGAATATTGTTAATAAATTGTTGTGTCTGTACAAGTCTAAGAGCATGTGGAATTAGAGTGGATTGTGAGGCTTGTGAATCGTGTGAGACATGTGAATCGTGTGAGCCATGTGAATCTTGTGAGGCTTGTGAATTTTGTGGGGCTTGTGAATCTCGTGAGGCTTGTGAATCTGGTAAGACTTGTGAGGCTTGTGAATCTTGTGGGGCTTGTGAATCTTGTGGGGCTTGTGAATCTGGTAAGACTTGTGAGGCTTGTGAATCTTGTGGGGCTTGTGAATCTTGTGGGGCTTGTGAATCTCGTGAGGCTTGTGAATCTTGTGAGGCTTGGGAATCTTTTGAGGCTTGTGAGGCTGTGAATCTTGTGGGGTTTGTGAGGCACTTTCGAAATTTGATGTGGTTGTCTTATCGTTAGTTTTGTCAGTTAAAAAAGTGTGACGTTAGGGGGAGGGTGTGTGGAGTTAGAAATGTTCTAACATCATGACAATTGTTTTGTCATAACCTAACGTACAATGGCATTTTGTTATCACTTAAGATAACCTATTGCTTTATTCAATACCATACAGAAAAACTTAAGATTAATTGATAGAATAATGGAACGCCCCAAATGTGACTAGATAGGAAAACATTTTAAAAAAAACAAAAAAAAAAAAATTCACAATTGTCAAGGGAAGTAACTAAAACATTTGAAGAATATTTTTTAAATTAAATGACTTATTCCCCATTGAAAAGGCCGCTGTTCTTCATATTCTTCTAATAATCTTATTGTACTCTGTAGTACGAATTGCTCTTTTACTGATGCACTAGATAGAGATTTGATGTAAAGTTAAAAAAAATATATAATTGTGGATATTTTACACCAATGAATGAGCCCCTACCCGATGGCATCGATGGAGTAGAAGTGAGTCATTTTCTTGACGAAATAAGAAGTAAACCAAGTGTAGAAGTATACTTGAAATACAAGTGCAAATCATTTAGTCATACAAAGCTGGTGCATAAGATGAACTTATATATATGCAGTACGGATGTGAGTGGAAATATTGATGCATTACTTCACTAACTATGTTACACGGTAAACGGGAAAGTAATACCATACAAGCATTTTTGAGTGGACCAAGGTAATGTTATGATGGGAGGATATAGTCTAAACAAACCCGACGCTTATGTCACGTGATAATTGATCTTTACTTTACACTAACCACGGTGAGGGTGCCATGTGTACGTGGGTGGGAGGGAGAGGAGGGGGTCGGAAGGGGTGGAAGGGGTGAATGTTAGGCATAGACACTTCCTGACCGTTTAAAATTGTATAAATAGATCTGAATTTGTACAGGCAAAATTATATATTTGTACAAGCTAAATTGTATATTGCACAAGCTAAATTATATATTGTACAAGCTAAATTATATATTTGTACAAGCTAAATTATATATTTGTACAAGCTAAATTATATATTTGTACAAGCTAAATTATATATTTGTACAAGCTAAATTATATATTTGTACAAGCTAAATTATATATTTGT